TATTTAATGTTCATTTAAAACTAAAGAGACATAAAGGAAAGATATAAATTATAATTTAGATGACAAAGTATAAAATAAACTTAATAGGGACTTAATAAATTCAAATACCAATTGGAGATTAAATACATTCAACAGTCATTAGTCTCTAAGACACATCATATTCCATTAAAATATAAAACAAAGAAATGAAGTCTAATGAGGGCTTTTGAAATTATTGAATGACATATGGTAATCCTTTTTAATCTTAAACTTTCTTACCATTTTAATTAATATACACTAAGGAGCTGTCCTCTGCTCAGAGTTGGTTAACAGACCAAAAGATGATGACAGAAAAGAACCACTCCTCATTTTCTTACTGTCTGTATGCTCCCCCTCCTCCAAAAGAACTGGTCAGCTACAGATCTGCAGGCTGTACCCTCCTAAGCTTCAATACAGTTTTGATAACTCCCCAGGACCCCAATTAGGAGACACTTTAAGGCAATGAAACTTTGAACTAATTTAGATCAAACTACTGTTGATTTAGTTCTTCCCTCAACATGGGAAATGGATGAACTTTTCAAATTGACATATTTGGAAAATGTATTTATATCCTTTGTGTGTATTTTTTATTTTCTATAAGCAGTTTGGTGTGGTAATGGAAGACAGCAATGAAAGTCCATGATGAGTTCAAAATTTAAAAATACTGAAATTTTGTGTAAAACTTTTTCCATTACCATTATAGAATCAGCCTGAACAAAATTAGTGTAAATATTTAGTTACTGATCTTTACAAAATATTGATGATCTCTTATTCCCTTAAAGTTAATGAAAGCATTATATAAAGTTTAGTATTTTGTCTTCTGGATCATTATTTTGTTGATCATATACTGATCATTCTATTTGCTGCTATACAATTTACATAATCACCACCATTATGCAGAGTTAATGAATGAGAAGTTACCTGCCTGCCTTATTGATAGTTGCTTTCCACTTTTATAAAAAGATACCTTGCTGATATTTTTAAATTTAAGGGAGTAGGGTTTCATTTACTAAATTTTTTACAATATCTCTGTCCCAGTTCTTAGTGTAAACTTGCACAAATCCTCCAAAATGCATTCATTTGAACTGATAAAGTAATCGAAAATCAGATGTCCTTAAAAATATAATACATTTTGAATTTATTAAATAATATGTCATCTTGGAAATCCTGACAGATTTTTACAATGTACAGTCTAGGCATTGTCTACACATGCAGGTTTTTTTAATGTCTCTTCCCATCTTTTCTGGTCCTGTATTTCTATAGCATCTCTTCATCTGAGTAACTGACTAGCACCTTAAGTATCATAAAATAATAAATCAGTATGCAGTATTCACCTCATCATATTTCAGGATACAAAATGCAATATTTCTGATGATTCTCATTAGCTGTTTTGGTTTAGTAAACTGGAAATATACGTTGCCATTGAAATGAAGGAAGAAAATGCAAGCAGGAAGATCTGCTTTGTAGGCTCCAATCCTCAGAGCAGTCTTAACTGTCCTGAAAGAAGCTAGCATCATTTCCCTTTGGAGCTATTGAGGTTTTTTTCACATGCTGATTTTTTCTTTTTATAATGTGTTTGGGTTTATTGTGTTAAATATATATTGAAATATTATTTGCTGTTCTTAATCTTATCTGGTGACAGAGTAGCAGAGGGGAATAATGTGTCATTTTTTTGGCAGCAACTGACAGTAGTTAATTTCTGCTATTTGGTTCTGAACTGTGTGAACCACTGTTGAAGCACTGTGACCTGTTACGGTGATTCTGGTAGCATTTCTGTTCTGTAAAGACATGCAAAAAAACCCCCAAAAAAACTGTGAAAAGAAGGCAAAAAAGAACATTTTTCAACACAAGAGTAGAGCAGTTTATGAGAAACACATTACTTGCCTATTTCCTTTACTCGCTACTAATTCAGGCTAAATACTTCCTTTAGTTCACCCCTTTTGGGTCATGGTAAGGCATTCATTACTCTAAATGCAGACTCAGGCTTTGTGTCAGCTTCTAATACTACTGTTTATCACCACACCAAGAGTGAAAACCGCAGAAAAATTAGGTTAATCAATACCTCTGCAGTGTGTTTGACACTACATTCAGGAAAAGTTTAGAACGTCATTGCTAACTGCAGGTCATAAACAGCCTAAGAGGTCTGTGTATGCTCTTGATGTGAATTCTGGTTCTTCATGCAAATTGAGGGCAGAATACGCTGTAAGCCTTTGTTAATTATGCACCTCCTGCAGAACACTAGCATCTTGGATTGTATAAAATGCAACACCACTGCTTCTGACATTCCTTCAGAAAGAAATTTACAAGTGTTTCTGAGTCTCCATTTGGCAGACCTAGGCAAAATCTCTAACCAAGTGTTCTGTTTAAAACCTGTGCTTATAAGCAATAATATTTTTGAACTTTTAAAACCATTCAGTGTTTGAGAGGCAGGGATTAGTTGCTGGGGACAGGTATTTATGAACATTTTGGTATCCTACACTGGTTCAAGGTGAAAAATTACCAACTGACACTGTAGAAAGTATTTCTGAGGCAGCTGATTGGCAAGGGATGGGATGTAGCACAATATACTTAAAACTAAGAGAATTTAGGGAGAAAAAAATCCTCTTTTTGTACTGCAAAACCAAACAATTAAAAAAATGTGCAGCTTCACATCTATTATAAAAATCTCTTTTATACCAAATGAGAACTTAAATGCTGTGATGATGCTTCCTAATGACAGTAACAAGCTTACAACATTTTTTTTAAAAATTGAAAGTTTATTCCTGCGTCTTTCGTCTCAAAACTTTCGATAGTCTTCTGTGTTGTAGTTGTGTTGTAGTCCTCCATGAAGTAGACAGTTTCCATGTTTAACTTATTTGTTAAAAGCCATTATTCTACTTGAGGTTTGCTCAGAGCAAGGACTGAGCACCATGTTTTTTTGCATTTTACAAAGCATTTGTGCAGTTTAAAACACATTTTTTATCAGTTATTTTAAATATGTAGTTCAAGATACATCAGCAGTTACTGTAAGCCCTCAGCAATTTCATATTTTTTTTTAGAGATACTGTATACAGTTTATACAATTAACAGTCTGACATAAAGTTCTAAGACTCAAAGATTAATTTATAGAAACCAACAGCCCTTATCCTTAGCATGCCTGAAGAGACATTACTTTATTGAAATCAATGGAGCTATACAACTTTAATTTAGAATCTGTACTGGAATGTTTATCTAAAGGTAATAATAATAAAAAAAATAAATAAATCTTGAAATTGAGTAAAGTAGTTAATAAATAGAGGTTTTCCTGAAAGAGTTTTGGAATTAGTGCCGTTTTTATTTGAACAAGGACACAAGGAATACTCTCATCATAAAATAGATCTAAAACAATAAGAGTAATAAAGGACAATTAAAAATCTCACACTGGTCAATTGATGAGGCTTGAGAACAAGTGAGATGTGCTCATAGAATTATCACAACCTGAAGTTTATTTCTGATGTGTTTTTCTACTTACATATGCTAAAAAGCCTCGTCCCTACCTTTTGATGAATATATTTTGAAGTCAGAGGGGGACCATTATAATCATTTAGTCTAAACTTTTGTATAGTGCCTGATAGGTGTTTTGTAGCAAATTATACTATTTCCTCAGTAGAATTTTTATATTGTTATGTGTGGGGGGGGGGTTGTTGGTTTTTTTTACACAGTATTTCTAGAAAGTGAGATATATGGATTACACTGGGGACAACGTCTCATCCTATTATTTAAGTTGGCTATGGGGCAACCCCAGGAATTCTTTTATCTCTTTTACCTCTGACTATTATTCAGAGAATAGATAGCATTTTCTGGGATAGGCCTTCCAGTGCTTACATCTTGCATCCTAGATTGTTCGGTTCCTGTGCCTGTAAACACTTACTCAGAAAAACATTTAAGTACCTATACACTTATTTATAAAAATGAGTCTTAGATAAATGCATTTTTAATTGGTATTTTGAATTATTTAGCTGTGATTTCATCATCAACTAAGGTTGTTATTATGATTTTTAATCACGAGAGCATACAAGTTTCTGAAAAACTGGAAGGCAAAACTCAAGCTTCCAGCTCTGGAATGTACCCTCCTTATAACCAGTTTCTTGTGTTGCTTTGCTGTATTAGTGTGTCATTTGAGAGAGAAGGAAGGACAGAGGCAGATGCCCTAGCCAGAGCTCAACCCACCCATCAGGGGACCCCTCCCCTTCCCCCCGCCCCCTGCTGTGAAGGACCAAGTATTTCCTCACACCAACATGAAATGCCCTTTAGGTCAGTAGACATAACTGACTTAAAGCTGGCTGCTCCACGTGGCACTGAACCCTCTCCTGGCTGCCTTCTCGGATGCCCCAAGGGGGCAGCTGCTGCGGGAGAGGAGCTGTGGCTGGAAGAACAGCTGCAAGGGCGGGACAAGGTCCTGTCTGATTGGCTGCAAAGCCCAGAAGTCCGAACCCAGCCAATCAGGAGCAAAGGAAACCTATAAAGAGACAGCGTGGGGCACGTTTCCCTCTCTCGTGCTCCTCGTTTTCGGCGACTGTTCCGCAGACACCGAAGGTGCTGCTCCTCGCTTCTTGCTTTGCCGCTCACTTCTCA